CATGATACCAGTTGGTCTAATTGAACTCACGTGGTTATAGTTTAATCGTGAAATGTCTTGTTAGATTCTACACACACATCACTGTTATAAACAACAAATAACCAGCTGGTTCATTGAAGGATAACCCCTACAGCCACTATACATTCTGCATAATACCGTGGTAAGAATAACTATTTCAACTTGTAACGTGCAGATTATTCCCCAACTCTCGAATGGAATGACTCGGAGTCATCATCGCCACCCCGCGCCTCCGATGAGCGCAGTTGGCTACGTAGCGGTGCAAAAGAAGTCCAACATCCGTGCATCACAGCCATGGTCGATCCACTGCTGGATAACGGCCTCAACGAGCTGCCGCCACTCCTCTAAGTCTCCGCGATGCTACGATCCGGCCAGCACCTCCGCACGAGCCGATCCAATTGCTCCACCCCTGTGGTGGACGTCGTCGCCATTGAACCACCGTGGACTTTGAGAGGATGCGCTTTGAAAAAGCGGGTCGGTCGACAACGCCAAAAACATCCATTAGCGTCGTGCGGAGAATGTAAATGACATTTACTTCTTTACTTTCATGTGTTTTTTGGTTATGCGGAAGGACGGGTACATGGAGACATTTAATCTGCAACGTTTGCTTCATTGATTGAAGGAGTCACGTTAGAGTAGCATTACAAAGTCACATTCTTGCGTGTGGCGAGTATCACATCCACGACGCTGAAATTGTTCTGTTATAGCCGGCGTCGTTGATAGCGCCAGAGTGGAGATTTTTCTTCAATACTCCAGCTTAGTGTGGGACACATCACCAATGTGACTGGCACATAATGTGCTAGCTTTGTCCTTGGGTAAAGCGCTGGAATACAGCACGAGATGAATCGTAAGAGACTCGGGTTTTAAACTTTCTTCCGAGCGGTATGGATTATTGAGGAAGCCTTTAAGTTTAAAGGAAGCACATCATAATCATCTGATGAGTGAATGCCTCACCCGAGGAAGCCCCCAGCACACACACCTGATCTTAATGGAACTTAGCACGTAGATTTACCATTGGATGCATGCGTTACAACCCCACGTTTCAAAGATCCACGCGAATAATATGCCAGTAGAAGCTGTGCAGAGGTAAAAGGCAGTTCTCCGTTCTGTGAAATGTACACAGTCTCAACAGCACGTGTTGACAAGGAATGGAGGCGTCTTGTTACCCAGGTACGTGGCCCTGGGTGACGGTGCTGCGAGGTGGCGCTCAGAGCGGTGGTTGATGTCCGCTCATCGGACAGGACGCCACTCCTATTATACTCTTAGTTTTTTCGGTAAAGTCACGTAGGGAAAAAAAAATGAAATTAATAAAAAATAAAATTATAATAAAAATTTATTTTTTATTTTTTTACCTACGTGACTTTACCGAAAAAACCAAAGTATGGATTCCTGCAGTCACAAAAGCTTCAAATCAATACTTTTAATGACTTCGTCATTTGTTGCAATGATTATCAGCATGGTTACATACAATAAAATCTAGAACCACTCCTATTAACTACCTCGCCTGGGTTCGATCGCAAACCGCCCTGACGCGTGTATATTTGGAGTTTGCGTGTCTCCTCGTGGACACGTGGATTTTGTTCCTGGTGCGTCGGTGTTTGTCTCCAAATGTTTTAATGAACGTGCGTTTAAGAGTATTTTGCTGCTGTAAATGTCTACATGCTAAACCACTTTACTGGGATAACATTTGTGGCCATGTCGATTATGAAAAAGGCCTGCATAGCTCAGTGAGGCCTTACCCAGCAAATAAAAATAAGTTTAGTTTATAGAGGATCACAGGTGACTGCTAAATGCAAAGTGAAGGTACAAATTTGATCGAATTGTACATTGTCTGTGTTGTTGTTATCCCCATTGGTTTGAGAAGTTTAATATTCCTTGGATTGTTTTTAAATTTCGCATTCAGAGCTCATGCAATAGACAGGCAGTCGTGTGAATTAGTCGCGGAACATAACCACGGTGCTTGTGCCAGGCTAGGTGTACCTTGAGGTTTTGTGAGATGTGGAAGGCTTGCTGCTGGCGGGAGGTCACGTGACAGACCCAAGTGCCGTGGGTTGACTGCCAGATGACTGGCAGATGCACCACCGGTGCTCCCCACTGTGCCACCTCGCTGCGTGTTATCCGTGCGCCGCTCCGCTCGTTTCTGAGCGTCCTTCCTCAGCCCTTCTTTGTTGCTGGAGGGCGACTGCCTCCAAATGCCGAGTAGCCTCCTTCACAAACCTCCTGAAAATATAACCCACGCCTACGCAGAAGAGACACAAAAAAAATCGGCGTGCAAAACAGCACGCCAATTACCACGCCACCACAAACAGCACGAATTAGCCTATTAGCGTGCAGTCTGACCTGCTTGGAAGGCACTCATGGTATTAAAATTAAACGTATACCAAGTAGTATACTGATGGGCGTTCTGTTATTACAGAACGCCCATTAGTACGTGCAAAATACGTTCAACGTACATACAATGTGTACATTCGGCTGTTGGTGAAAAGGTTTGTCGGAGGGATCCCCTTGAATTTCGTGGTCAGATTTTTTTTTTATATATTGAGTAACTCGTGTATATTACACACCAAATTGGAACAATCGTAGAGCGAGCAGGTGCATCATTATATGCCAGAGAAATATACAGTTCTAAGTATTACAACACATATAGTGTGTGGTAGAGTCAGAGGCATTCTCATGTCCACGTGGCTCATCTGTTGAGCCGCAGACAGTAGCAGCAGCAGGGCCTGGAGAGTTGGGCTCTCATCTGAACCTCAACCTGACCGTGGCTGATGACATCACTTCTGTCAGCACCAGGGCAAAAAAACACGTTCCTTCGGAGTGGGCAGGTAGGAACTTGGTTGGACAGCGCATTCGTGCACGACAGAAAGCTCGCGGTCACGTGACGCACTTCAACCAATCCGGGAGCGTACGACAGACAAATAATCCCTGGTGGGCAATGTGGAGCTGTTGTTCCTACCTGGACAAGGCATTTTTACTCCACGTAGCTCTTAGCTCACCCTACTTCTGAGATCCCTTCAAGTGACCTGTGTTTTTTTTTAATCTGCGCACTATGGGAGACACTCCAAACAACATTTCGGACAATGGGGTTTGCTGCAGTCATAGGGTGAGCAGGGCGAGGGCCGAGGTTTATTGGCAGGGACGACGCGAGGCCACAGACTGCCTTCATTGCCTTGTCCACTTCCGATTAGCACGGTTGGTTACGTACGGTGCGAGAGAAGTTCAACATACATGTCGGACCTGTTTGGTTTACGGAATACAGTTTTAGCACCTAAACGGACACACACACTTCTCAGATATTCAACTTGCGAAGGTTAAATGGAAATAACTACTACCACAAATGCTCCATACAGGCCGATGAGATGTCGATTAACTCTTACAACACGAGCATCGTTGGCTAGAAAGTTGCCCGGATGCTGACGCCTTCGTTGCAGCTGTTCCACCCCGGTTGTAATTGTTGGCACCCTGTTTGAGGCTTCTTTCTGCAATACATTTCGCTCGTCTTTACAAGCGGCGGACACGAAACATCGTTGCTGCTTTTCCGATGTGCAGTTGTGCAAGGGCGGTGCCATCGTCTTCGATCACATGATGCATCTGCCATACACCAGCAAAGTCTGGAGAGACCTAAATAGTCTTTTCTCTGATAACGCGTGTTGTTTTCATAACGCCAATTGAATATAATGCGATAATGAATGTAGGAGGGATCACATTTTTGTTATAATGCGGAAGCGAATTGTACATAACGCGATCAAGTGAACTTAGTGACGTCGCGCGAGGAGGAATAAGCGGTTGTGCGCTTGTACGGCTGCCTCGGCGGAGCATCGCACAAGGCAGTGGGATGCTGCTGGATGCTTCTAGATGCTACCCACGCGCCTCAGTCTACGTTCAGCCTACGTACGCATCTCACCGTGTTATCGCGGACTATGCTGTACCCTATATTGTATATTTTTTATAATAACGCGATTTTTCCATAACCTCTTGTTCTTCAGGGATGCGACAACCGCTGCATTACAGGAGAAGAGACTGTACTTGGGTCGCACCCCACTCATTGTACTTTAATTTGCTTACCAATATCTTACCAATATAGGTTACTCGATCATTGAGTCTGTGTATTGGAGGACTCTGAGGTTATCACCGAGCACCAAGGCACCAGTACGTAATTTTCACGCCAAGTGTGTTTCGGATGAAGCTGCCTAGGTAAAACACAATCTGGTAGTTTGTTGAAGAAAATTGTAAAATTGGTAACAGTTGTTTTTTGCTCGTAAGTGGCAAAATTGCGACTTCAAATGACAATATTAAATGCACCCACACACTTTAAATTATAATAAACAAGCAGCAAGCTGACAATGAAGTACAGCATCAAAGTGGTAACAATATCATATTCGGGTCATATGAAGAATATTCCTGTCAACAAAGTTTATTTTTCCTGACGGTTCATGTTAAGGTATTTTAAGGACAAGATGGCAAATGTGACTTCCATCAGTGAAGCGACGCAAGGTGAAAGCGAACATTAAAATTGCAGTTGTGACCAACACCCAACCTGCCATTTGATATCCTCCCGATTAGATGCACGGGCCACACCTATGAAATTGGCCCAATTATGCAGCAGTTTGCACTGCCCAACCGTGAAAAGATTATATTGTGCACAAAACAAAATCTCGCATCACTTTGCTGTCCGGACAGAAGAAGAAGAATAGAAAAAAACCGACAACTTTTTTTAACTCTACAAAGTGACCTACCGAGAATAATTCGACTCATATAAGCGAATTATCTAGACCAATACAGCTAGGTTGTGTATCGTAAAACTCGCTTTTCCCAACAGTCACGAGTGTGTCAAAACACCCCTCCGTAAATACATCCCAGGTGAGATTTACAACAACAACAGCAACATCGTCGGCTAGCCAAGCGGTTCGATCCGCGCCAAAAATAAAAATCTGCAACTGCGTAGAAGCCAGGAGGAGGAGCAGGGAAGGAAGGAAGGAGGCATGAGGAGCCAGACGCGCCTCATCTGCATGCTGTGCCTCACGCTCGCCTTCTTCGTCGTGGAGGTGGTGGTGAGCCGCGTGAGCGAGTCGCTCGCCATGCTCTCCGACTCGCTGCACATGCTCTCGGACGTGATCGCCCTCGGCGTAGCGCTTCTCGCCGTGCGCCTGGCCGGCCGCACGCGTCCCACGCGCCGCAACTCGTTCGGCTGGGCGCGCGCCGAGGTGGCGGGGGCCCTCGTCAACTCGGTCTTCCTCGTGGCGCTCTGCGTCACCATCGTCCTGGAGGCCCTCGGACGGTTCGCGGCGCCGCGGACCGTCGAGCGGCCCCTGCTCGTGGTCGTCGTCGGCGCCGTGGGCCTCCTCGTCAACCTGGTGGGGCTGTGCCTCTTCCAGGGCCACGGGCACAGCCACGGGGAGGCCGCCGTGGAGGGCAGCTCCGGGCCCGTGCGTGTCGGTGCGTAAGAACGGTAACGCCGTGGCCAGCAGCAGCGGCGGCTCCTCGGCGCGTTGCCTGCACGCAGGGACAGATTGGCTATTATACAGCGTGATTCAAAAAAAGGTTAACACTTACATGGGACTATCGTTTTTTATGTAAAAAGAACGGATGATACTCTGTAACATGATAACAAATGTAATGTTAATAGCTTCAAAAAGTCGTAGGGTCTCCACTTGTTGCTATCATTGTCAACGCGTGCCTGGAATCTTCTCCAGGTGGTCTCCAGAGCCCGGAGGCACATTTCTTGTGGTGTTGTTGCAAATTCTCTGAAGTGTTAAAACATTTTTTGAAGCACCCTGTATGAGAAGAATTGGCTTTTTTATTGCATATAAATTAGCAGCTTGTTTCAATGGGCTCACTTGCCTGCTTCTTAAAGGGCAAATAAAAACGAGTTTAAGATCATTACTGTCCGTGGAGTAAGTGGTTAGCGAAGCTGGAGTTACAATCCACAGGTCTGCCGATTTGATTTCCCAGCGCGGAATTTTAAATACCGCAAAATGGGAATATTTCGTAAGCAGTCGCTCAGGTCCCAAAGAAGCAGTACTGTTATACATTTGGTAACCCTACAGTCGAGCGTCTGGTCGCGTGTGATGGGACAAAGTGTGGGTTACTCGGACCTCTTACAAGTTGTCTGAACAGCGTGGAAGAGTAGGTGAAGTTCCCCTGGAGATTTGTCTCCTGAGAGGCTCCCTCGAGTTGAAGCCGTCTTGAAGTCGTTTTGCCATGAGTTGGTCCTTTCAGGGTTGCTCCTCAATCTTTGCCAGCAGATTGTTGTATGATTATAAAACCGAGGATTTTTGGAATTTATTGTAGAATTATTCAGTGTAACAAACGTGCGTTATTCTGATCCTGAATTATGGTCGATCTCTCAGTCAATCCAAATATTTATTCTAGATTTGAAGCTGCCCACTTCAGCATTTGTTTCGTGCTGTGGTTGTCCCACCTGATGACGGACGCTTGTGTTGCACCCGAAACGTCGTGATTTATTATTTTATTTCTATTATCATTTCTATCATTTTATTATTTATTTTTATTTTTACCTACGTGACTTTACCGAAAAAAACCTAAGAGTATTAATCCAAATATTAACAAACGGTAATATAAAAGAACACCTCCAAATCACTGACAAAACTGCAGCCGTATTGAAGTTAAGATATGGCCACAAGAAAACAGACTATATGAAAACAACGCATTAGTAATTTGACACGTAGGTTTTTGCGATCAATACGACTCGTAATTGAGTTTTGGTTCAGATCGCGTGAGTAAACCAAACTATTTTATATTTTATCAGGCAAGGCCCACTGAGCTATACAGCTCTTTTTCAGAAGCGACCTGGCCACAAGTGATAGCCCAATGAAGTGGCTTGTCACGTAGAAATGTAAAGCAGCAAAATAGTCGATAAACGCATGTTTCTAAATGTAGAGGGAAAACTGGAGGACCTGGAGAAAAATCCACGCGACCACAGGGAGAACATGCAAACTCCAAATATACAGCAGCAGGCGTCAGGGTTGATATCGAACCCATGACCTCCTGCATACCAGGCGAGGTAGTTAACATCTCTCCACCGTGGCTCCCACAATTGGGTACGCATTTCATTGGTATTTACAAGCACCATCCGTCAGGCAATTGCCAGAACTGTGAGAATGCACGGCAGTCTTCACACGTGCTGTGGAAAACCTTGTCGGATCTTTCAATCATGTTGTTATTTGCCGAGAACAAATCCGGTGTACTGGCACCGTAACTGCAACTGTCACCACACATACACAGTGACATTACATATCACGGCACCTTTTTTGCCAGTATCAAAGTGTGAAAAATAAGAACGGCTTTTACCCTTAATGGCAATAAACCAGGTGCTAAGATGTTCAAACTCCAAATAGATCTTTTTTGCAAGGAATCAAGTCTGCATTAACTACACAGGGTACTTGCGGCGAACGTGAAAACAAACTTTGGTCATATTTGCATTGTCTTTGAAACTGTTTGGCCTACACGAGAGACATCAGCCTTCTTTATGGCCGTGTCTCACCAGTGGCAGACCAGAGAACTACGCCAAAAGGCGAACAGCACACGGACAATGCCACACGCATCAGAGCATTTATAGGCCGGCGTGAGCGGCTGTGTCATGGTATTGCAGGTGACCACGTGTTATTCGGTGACGCTGCTGCATTGGCAGTTGTCCACGAGCACATTTAACGAACAACAACAAATAACCGCAACACACTCCTCAACAACACTGGCTTATCAGAAAACAAATATAGTTGGCAACGTTTCGGGCAATGGTCCTTAGGCGCTCATACGTTTTTTTCTGTTAAGACAGTTTTTAGTTTATTTTTTACAGGTAATCACGCGAATTGGCCGAAAATGTACACATTCTCCCATATTTAATTGCTTTGTTTCAGCATAAAATCCGCCACTTTAAAAAAAATTACAATCCTCTCAGAGGCAGTATTATTACTTTTAAGAGAAACACGTGATGACATACGCACAATAATGTATCTCACGTAACTATAATTAAAAGTGAAACGTGACATTTGAATTGGATGAGTTGATATTTTTTACATTTACCATATCACTTTGAAATGTTACGTAATACATATATTTAAAATGTGCACGTCAAATGTGTCATATATTTGAAGAAAAAATGAGGCACAGGCTGCCTGACGGCACGAATTGAAACCACAATGCCGCCGTGTTAGCACGCGCTGTGCTATGAACTATATTTCAGCTATTTTTTTCACCTGATGACGATTGCTTGTGTTTTTATATCTACGTGGCTTTACCGAAAGACCCAAACAATCTGTGCTATGAACTCGGCGACCCGATTTCTCTTCCCGCCCACGGCCCAACATCGGTGATGAATACCCGAGCCGGTTCGGGGGGCCTCGCCTCCATCGACTCGGCCTGAAACGCGAGTGCCCCATGTGGTGCGCGATCGGCAATTGGGAGACTAAGGTGGCCGGGCGGCGCCTTGACCCAACAGTCTGTGTGTAGGCCAGGGAGTCGGCAACCAATACCGAAACAATTCAGTAAAAAACAACTCGATATTTCAAGAGCCTGCGATGATGAATATGAGACGGCGCTGGTCCTTGGTAAAAGACGTCATGAGGAAGCGGTGCTCAGAGAGCCGCCGCGTGCGGATCAGGAGCCGCCAGGGTTGCATTTGGTGTTCAAGCTTCGGCAGGCATTGAGGTCCTTTTGCAATTTGTGTTGATATACTTTATTTACTTACATTTTTATTTCGCAACTCGCTTAACTATGCACTCCTATCGGTGTTTGTATCGTTTGTTGTTGCAGCTTTCTAGCCGCCACCCCCTACTGGACATCTGTGAATCAGAGCGTTGTAGCTCATCGGTGTCTTCCAGTCTAAATAAAGATTCCGATTCTGTCAAAGGTTTACCGACCCCCCTGGTGGTGTAGGCTTTACAAGGGGGGCCTTTGTGCACATCTCAGGGCAATGCACCAGGTGCCCACCCCAGCTCCTCTCGGATGAGAGCGCCAGTCGAGCCGCAGTGCAGGGTGCCACCAGAGCTGCGATGCACCACTCAGGAGACTGCCCCTGGGTGGGGAGCCAAAGGGACATTCGGTGGTGGAGGGCCCACCCCAGCCACCCCAGCCACCCCAGCCAGCTCCAGCCCTGGCACGCAGGGGCATTCAGAATAAACTCCGCATGAGCCGCAGGAATGCGGTAAGAGCATGGCGCAGTGCGTGGTGAACCCACAAATTGGGCATTACCTCTGCTGGCAAGAGTCCTGACACACGCACACATACATAAATCTGCGTATGTATGTGTACATCCGTTATGCAGTGTAACCTTGAGTTTACCTGGCAATGAAAGACTGTGTCAGTGTGCCGCTGCTTTCATTGGTGCTGAAGGGCCTTTAAAGAAGAATAACTCTGACATTTAAACAACGCCACACAGAGTATGCATCATCATTGTAATGCCCTTGTCAGTATTTATTGGGTTTTCACCGTCAGTTGACTCATTTCTAACCCTGGCCCCCACACACCTCCCTCGAATCAACAACGCAGCCATCACCTGGTAAGGGTCGTGGGCTGGCGACAGTACGGGCAAGGGGTTGTTTGTTGAATTGCTTGGGAAGGTTCAAAGGTCGTGTCCTAGCATTCAAGAGAAACGCATGGGCAGTTGTTCAGTTGTGGTGGACCAGGACAGAGAGGCTTTTATGAAAAACAGCAACGCAGGAATGATGCCCGTCAATGGCGGAGCCAGGATTTTCAGGTAGGAGGGGCAACCCCTCCAGCAATTAAAAATTATAGTTGTTAGTAAGGACTTGTCCCTGGCTTTTTATTCGACGCGTGTGCGGCGATGGCGCAGTCATTGACCGAGGGTCGAATTCGAACCGCGTTGTGTGATCGGCATCACGCTCGCTGAAGGTGTTTGCCTTCAGGGAAGTCGTGTACTGTATACGCAACTGCGCACAATTCTGAGTCACTTATAGCCGCTTTATCGTTACTTATTGCCAATTATGGACTCAGACTATTGTCCTATCATCTCATAGAGTCCCTGGTACGTAATAATATGCTACACAGTGGCAGTTTAGCATACTTCCCGACATGCAACAAACTTGAAATTTGGCATGTGGGTAGCTTCCAGACTGTACACAATGCAAAAAGTAAAAAAAAAATTATTATGGGGGGGGGGGGGGGGCGCAATAATGGATATATTTTGCACGGCAAGTGAGCAGTGACGTCACATCTGTGATGTCACCCGCATGCGGCAGCGTCACGCAGTGTGCCTGCTGACGTCACGCATCCATCCCCCCCCACCTTCCGCGTAGGCCGTGTATTAAACCAAGACAATAATCTCGGGCGAAGCCGAGTAGTCAAGCTGGTTACTAATAAACCCCAATGATCCGATCGAAATTAGGGATTTCGATTGGATCATTGGGGGGGGGGGCATGTGCCACCCCCCCCCCGGCTCCGTCAGTAATGCCCGTGCTGCCATTGTTGGCAGACTGAAGCTCGTCAGTTTGTTCTCCCCAGCGTGGCAGTGTAAATAATGGTGCAATTGTTTCTTAAATCTCCTGCGTCTATAATAGAGGGTTTTTTTGGGTTAGGTTGCATAAATATAAATGTGTCGTTAAACCCGCCACCACCCGACAGCTAATTAGTAAGGTTTGTCACGTAAACAGAACATGGCAATTCGTTGCGAGTGCAGCACACCGGTTGTGTGTTGGAGAGTAAATCCACAACTTTTACAATTTGAGTAACGACGTTTCGCCAGTAATGACAACTAGCTTCATCAGGCTTCAGCCAGATTTGTGGAGAAATCCTCCTATTTCGTTCTTGAATAGAGGGATAAATGTGATGATGTCACTTGCGAGCTCCTCGGGTGCGACCGCCTGCTGCATCTGTCGACACAGTGTAAATGGGTACACTACAGTTAGTCGATTTGCAGGTTAAAGTGTGGTGGGTTAAAGTGTGGGTGCACTCACTGCTTCCAGTACCCTCTCTATGGGGGGCTCTATAGCGGTTGCCTCAAGTGGAGACCCTTCAGCCAGAAGTGGAACAAAGTGAGCAAGCGCAGATCCCTGTGCCTGTTACGCAACGACTGCGGTGGGTACGTACCACGCTGCATGGTGCAGCAGTGTCATAGTAAGCGTCTGCATGTCGCCCAGGCCCAGGTGCGGGAACGCATAGCGACCACGCGGGACCACCGTCCGTTGAGATGGAGGACCTTGCCAGGGTCCGGCCGTTGTGCGGCTCCGGAGGGTTCGTGGCAGCGGAGGTGATGGAGGAGGAGGCGATGGAGGAGGTGGAGGAAGAGGAAGAGGTGGTGGAGGCGACGGGCTCGCAGATGAACATGCACGGCGTGTTCCTGCACGTGCTCGGCGACGCGCTGGGCTCCGTGGCGGTGGTGGTCAACGCCCTCGTCTACTCCCACTTCGAGGGCTCGTGCGTGCCCGAGGAGGCTCGTGATGACGGCGAGGGGCCCGCGCACCGCCGCCGCCACCACCGCCGCTGCTGGGTCCACTACCTGGACCCGAGCCTGTGCCTGCTGATTGTGGCCATCCTCCTGAGCACGGCGGTGCCGCTGCTGCGCGACTCGGCGCTCATACTCATGCAGGCGGCGCCGGGGCACGTGGACCTGCGGCAGTTGCGCGAGGGCCTGGCGCGTCTCGACGGCGTCGTCGCCGTGCAGGACATGCGCGTGTGGCAGCTGGCAGGCAGCCGCCTGGTGGGCACGGCCCGCGTGGCCTGCGCGGAGCCCGCCGACGGCCGCAGCGTCGTCCGCGGGGTCCGCAGGTACTTCCGTCAGGCCGGCATCGGACACGCGACCATTCAGACGGAGTTTGTCGGCCGCGACCACCCGCTGGCTGTGGCCCGCCGATGCAGTTAGAGACACGAGATGTCTGTGTTTGGTCCCATGCGGGGGGAGGTGGTGAGGAAGAATGCTCAAGCGCCACTTCTATAACTACTTAATTTAAAGCCCAATTCTCAAAGCTGAATAATTGCAGCGCTCATTAATTGGCCGACGATATACTAAACTCTAAACTGAGGTGAGTTATATAGCTCTTTTTCACATGTGGAAATGTACAACAGTGGTCAAATGCTCTAAACCCATGTTTCTAAATGTGGAGGGGAAAATGAGAGGACCCAGAGAAAATTCCACATGACCGCAGGGAGGGAGACGTGCAAACTCCAATTATACAGCCATCAGGGTCACGATCGAACCCACGACCTCCTGCATATCAGGCGAGGGAGTTAACATCTCGCCACTTAATATATAGGGGATCGCAGAGCTTGGGCAATTGTTGACGCCGGCTCAACGCGTGGCCGCTGCCTTCCCACTCGTCAGCTGCCTGTCATCCTCGTGCCTCCGAGTAATTCGGTCTCTGAGTCGAGTGAAGGAATACTGTATGGCGGTGGGTTTACAAGTTGACATTTGTCTATAACTACAGCAGCCTTCTCCAGATTGCAATGCGCACAAAGGTTTGGGGTGCATTTGGCTTTCTGGAGTGTCTTATGATCAGGAGAATATGGCATGTGAAATGAGTATAGTATCAATGTTAAGCACGATGATTCATAAATATGAAGCAACGTAATTTTTGCTCCAGTTTTATCTTGACTTAAAGCTTTCGTGACTGCAGGAATTCATCTTCTCTGGGTCTTTCGGTAAAGTCACGTAGATAGGTTCAAAGAAAATAACAAAAAACTACGACGTTTCGATCGCAACACAAGCGGTCGTCATCAGGAAAAGGGGTTTAGCTTCTAAAGGAAAACTGTTTATAAAGGTTTAAAATGGGCGTAGCCAAAATGTCAGCAGCATGGGTGGGGCAGCTAATGTTAATGTAAGTGATGGGCAGCGACCACGATTGGCGGTGGGTTTCCACCAATTAAAGGGGTGCCAGGTCAAAATTAGCATGTTAATGTAAGATCGGTGAGCGGCCTCCACGGCGAGCGAGCTGAGGTGGCTATGTTAATGTGGGAGATTAGCATGTTAATGTAAGAGGTTAGCATGTTAATGTGAGAGATTAGCATGTTAATATAAGAGATTAGCATGTTAATGTACGAGGTTAGCATGTTAATGTGAGAGATTAGCATGTTGATGAGATCGCAGAGCCACCGCCACCTCGAGGTACGGCGCGCGAAGGTGGCTGTGTTGGTGTGTTAATGTCAAATCGGAGAGCCGAAAATATCAACTAACAGGTTGGAAACATCACAGCCAGTTATGACTTAAACTGGTTGATAACGTCCTTCCAATGATTACTAAGTTTGTACCCATCTTCTCGGTTGAAATTGTGTCTGTGTCTGTTTTTATGGATGACTTCATGGACGAATCTTTGTTGATAGCCAGTGGGTTTGCAAAGTACCTTCGTCTTAGAGAAAGCAATATCGTGTGAGCCCACCACATTAAAACATTGATCAGCCACGGCCGAGGTATTGGTCCTACCATGTTTCAGATCTGCCTTGTGTTCACGAACACGGTCCGAGACATGTAATTTAGTTTCCTCAATGTAACTACTGCCGCAGACACAGCTTAGTACGTAAAATTCGTGATCTGATCCCATCTGTATACATACAATACCCCGGCGTCTACAAACTAAGCACTCAAGTATAAAAACAAAGTGGCATCGTAGAACACGGAGTTGCTATCGTTTATACGTTATTTGAAAAATTGTGGGTATATAAATGCACATATGGCAATTGGAAGGTGATTAATGTGTTATAAATTATACAAAATAGAGTCCATTATTCAGTTTTTTCAATTTCATGTTGTTTAACGTTGTCAGTGTAAATGCTTAAAACGCACAAAATGTCCACACTGCAGCTTCCGATTTAGCATTACGTTTTCGCGTGGCCATTTTTTATGAATGTTTTGGTTAACAATACTATAATGGTTGATTCAGAAGGAAAAAATGTATGCATGTATGATTAGTACTGTATTATTTGCCTTACGTGCAGTCCTTGGATTACAAACCTAATTCGTTCCTGAGACCCGTTCATAAGTAAAATAGTTTGTAAGTCGCAACACTGCTGTAATGTACTGTATTTAAATGTGATACGGTCAGCGTTACGATTATGTGTTACGATTCAACAAAAAGGGAAGCATTGTTACACTCACAATTAAGAAGAAATTTTGTACATTTGCTTGTAACACTGTAAAAAACGTATCGTAAATAAAACATAAAATAAAGTAACATGAATAGATACTTTTATTTTCACTTGTCTTGAATCATGATGCGAGCTTTGTGGGGGCCGTTGGCCCCCGGGGTCCCTCCCGCCTGCATCCCCTAATCCGTTTACGTTACCCCACCTCCCTATTACCCGCTACGGTTTCGCAGGCATTCGAACGCGACACCCCTACTATTACAGCCTCGCGCCGCGCTCCCACGCTGCGAGCATACGTGCGCACATCATCATCAATCAAACGCCGTGCTCGCAGTATAGCCCTGTGCGGCACGTTACCAATGCGCATCCGTATCCGATACGTAACGAACGTATGCGCACTCCCACACACAGCTCTGCGCGGCACTCACTCAACACTGACCACTCACGTTAGGATCGCGCACCTGTATTACACACGTCGTGAACGTGCGCGCACACACATACAGCTCCACACGCGATACCCACTCTTGCGCCGCTCTGCGCCACGCTGGCCGCTCACGTTACGATCGCGCACCTGGGGTACGCCGATTACGCACGCCGAGAGCTTACGCAAGTAACGAGCACACGCAAGCGGGGCACACGCCGACACAACGACTCAAGTTGCCGCCGCCGTGCGCGCGAGACAAACTGTACAACAATGCGCAGCCGATTACGCGCTCGAGCACACGCAAGCTCGCACAAAGCTAACAGCTTCGCTCTGCGCCACGCTGGCCGCTCACGTTACGATCGCGCACCTGGGGTACGCCGATTACGCACGCCGAGAGCTTACGCAAGTAACGAGCACACGCAAGCGGGGCACACGCCGACACAACGACTCGTCCCCTCCCGCACTCGCGCGTGCACGTCAACACAAGTATCGTGCAAGGACGATTCTCCTCTCACACGGCTGCATAGGCACGCCAACACACAAAAGTGCTCTCCCCGGGCGTTAACACACACACCTCCGTACCCGCACAATCGTACAGAGACCACGGCCTTTACGCATACAACGACCACACACCCGCGAATGCAGTGCACGCTAATACCACGTTCAAAAAACACCCAACAACACGGTTTTGTTACTACGCTCGAGATTTTATTAGCCCTTGTTAACCCACCGAGCCACCCGTGTGTGTGTACGGGCCAGCAAGGCGCTTCTAACCCACTCTCTAGTGGCGTGCAGCCCTATTCTATGCTGCGCTCTCTGTTAAACCGCTTTCCTTCTCGTCCTTACCCCGAACTAACCCTCTCCTACGGATCCTACTCTCCGCTCTGAGGTGTTGTAAGGCGCGTAATACGATACCGTCTGTAGTCCTAGGTGACCTTGCGGCGGCTCAGGTCGTCCTGCAGACGATCTAGCGGCTCACCCGATGACTCCCTCGTCGTTGACCCCGTGTCACTACTCCAGAAGAAGAGAGTTCCCTACTGCCCCTGCGTTTTCTTTTAAACTATCCACATCAAAGGCTAGGCGCCCCCGTCCCGACCGCCTTGGTCTCTCGACCAATCCTGAGCCTAGGATTTCCCGCCCTTTTGCGATCCCGCCGGCCTTTGACCTTTTGACCAATCAGTAGCCCCGGGTCCTGATCCTAGCTATCTGCCTTGCTGACCCGTGTTTGTGTTTGTATGCGTTTCTAACTGCGGGGCTCTCTGAGCTCGCCGTGGTCGTGCGATCTCAAATCCGCCCACGGCGCCGCAGTGTTACTTAGCCTGGGAAGGGTCCTGTCCAATTCCCTGGCCCTGAGAAACCGTGGGGTAACCCCCCGAGGGGGCCCTCGGGTGAAAACTCAGGGTAGGTGACCCGACCACAAGGCCCTACGTGGGTGCGGGTGCGTGCTTATGTGGGGGGGGGGGGGGGGGATGGGGGGCAGTGCAGTGGTGGAAGCCGGGCGGCTCCCTGGCTCGGCAGAGCGGCCCCGTCGTTGTGGCACCACAGCTTTTAGTCGGAAAGGGGGCAATAAGTTGCCAAAATTGCACACACACACAAAGACACACACACGGGAGCACGCACACACACAAAGACACACAACAACAACCGCCATTCGCCACTAAGTGGCGGTGACATCACCACGACGCTTGTGCCAGGCTATGTGCCACGTGAAGTGTCGAACGCTCGCTGCCAGGAGGTCACGGGGCAGACCCAGGTGCCACAGGTCGACTGACTGAGATGAAATTTCAATTTAAAGCTTTCGTGACTACAGGGATTCATCTTCTTGGTTCTTTCTACGTGACTTTACGAAAGAACCAAGAAGATGACTGAGATGACTGAGATGACTGGCTGATGTACCACCTGTGCTCCCTACTGTGCCAACTTGCTGTGCTTTAGCCAACCCGGCACTCCGCTCGTTGTTGTGAGCGTCGATTTTCCGCCCTCTGTTGTTGTTAGAGGGCGACTTCCTACAACTGCCCAGTAGCGTCCTTCACGAGCCTCCTCCACAGAGGCCGATCTTGACACCGCTGGTACCAGTCATCGGCAAGTCCACTCAGCTCCACATCCTTCTGTACCACATCACTCCATATCTTCTCTAGCCCGTGCTGCGCCCATTTAGCCCCCTCGATCCGGCCGAACAAAGCTGTTTGGGCATGCAGTAATTGGGCATGCGGGCAACATGGCCCAGCCAACCCAGCCTTGCCTGCCGGAGGAGCTCACCGATGGGAATTTGTCCAGATCTTTCGAGGATTTGTGAGCTCCTCACACAATCCAGCCTGGTTAAGCCCAGCCTGAAAGTTTCTAACCGGCGCAGATGTTCCATT